TTAATAAATGAATTCAGCAAAGCAGCAGGATATAAAATCAATATTCATAAATCAAATGCATTCTATATATCAGTGATGCATCTTCTGAAAGAGAAATTAGCAAAACTATCCCATTCACAACAGCCTCAAAACAAACAAACAAACAAACAAACTTGGGAATCAACTTAACAAAAAAGGTGAAAGACCTCTACAATGAAAACTACAGAACACTAAAGAAACAAATTGAATGGGGCTGGGGATGTGGCTCAAGCGATAGCGCGCTCGCCTGGCATGCATGCGGCCTGGGTTCGATCCTCAGCACCACATACAAACAAAGATGTTGTGTCCACCGAGAACTAAAATAAATAAATAAATAAATAAATAAATAAATTCTCTCTCTCTCCCTCTCTCCTCTCTCTTAAAAAAAAAAAAGAAAAAGAAAAAAGAAACAAATTGAAGAAGACCTTAGAAGATGGAAAGATCTCCCATGCTCTTGGATAGGCAAAATTAATATTGTCAAAATGACCATACTACCCAAAGCGCTATACAGATTCAATGTGATTCCAATTAAAATCCCATTGTCATTCCTTATAGAAATAGAAAAAGCAATCATAAAATTCATTTGAAAAAATAAGAGATCCAGAATAGCCAAAGTAATCCTTAGCAAGAAGAGTGAAACAGGAGGCATCACAATACCAGACCTTAAACTATACTACAAAGCTATAGTAACAAAAACAGAATGGTACTGGCACCAAAGTAGACATGTAGACCAATGGTACAGAACAGAAGACACAGAGACAAACCCACATAAATACAGTTATCTCATACTAGACAAAGGCACCAAAAACATACATTGGAGAAAAGATAGCCTCTTCAACAAATGGTTCTGGGCGAAGTAGAAATCCATATGCAGCAAAATGAAACTAAACCCCTATCTCTTACCATGCACAAAACTCAATTCAAAGTGGATCAAGGACCTAGAAATTAGACCAGAGACCCTGCACCTTTGGACTCAAATTTAAGACACAGACCTTTGGACCCAAATTTAAGATATAAACCACAGCAATATCTTAAAATGTTATCAAGTATTCTAAGAATTAACACTTAGATACAAAAAAGCTATTAATATTGCAAAGCCCTAAAACCTTGCTTTAAGTTCTGTCACTTTTCATTTATTTGTGAAATATCAGTAATTCCTCAACCATATTAATTACAGAAATATATTTTAGGTTTTTATCTAGTTTAAAATATCCCTAAAAGATAGTGTATTCTAGATACTAAACAGCACATGCTATCATTTGCACAAATGCAGATTTTTAAAAATCAAGTGAACTGTATGTGGATATCTCTTTTTAAAAAATAAATAAGCAGGAAAGATGTATTCACAGAAATATTTATCTGGTCTAGCAAGAGAGAAGAGGAAGCCAACATTAAGCCTAGTAGGCTTAGAAACAAGAGATTAAGAAACTATAGCACAGCATTAGAAATATGGGCAAATAATTGAAATTATAGTGTAGAAGAGAGATAATAAGTTTTAACAAAGAATATGACATTAAATATTAAGGGGGAAAATATACTTCCATAACCGTATGTCCAAGTGTACTTAAACACTACCTACTTATTATCACTTTCTTTGCCCCTAGGTTCAGGCTTCTTAAAGATGATACTAATGCCAGGTGTGATGGCACATGCCTGTAATCCCAGCAGTTTAGGAAGCTGATAAAAGAGGATTGTAAGTTCAAAGCCAGCCTCAGCAAAAGCAAGGCACTAGCAACTCAGTGAGACTTTGTCTCTTTTCAAAATAGGGCTGGGGATGTGGCTCAGTGGTCAGGTGCTCCTGAGTTCAATCCCCAGTACTCAAAAATAAAATAAAATAAAGATGATACTAATGACAATGGTGACAGCATTTACTGATGAGAGCTTTTCACACACCAGACACTGCTGTGAGGATGTTACATATATTAACACATTTAATCCTCAAAACTGTCTGAAGAGGGTACTGTTGGCTCCATTTGCTAAACAAAGGAACTAAAATACAGAGAAAATAAGTGACTTGTCCAAAGTCACTTAGCTAAGAAGCATTAGAACTAGAACTTGAAGAAATGCCTACGGTATAGACATTGTCCATCTCCTCACCCCCCACTACTTTTCAGTGTCCCTAATCAGGATTCTACCTCCACCTCTCCACTGAAACTGCTTACCAGTGAGGAACTAATTGCCAAATCCAACGGGCTCTTTTTAAATTATCATAATTGATCCTTTCATATATTCTTGGCGCTGGGGATTGAACCCATGGTCTTGTGCATGAGAGGAAAGCTATATCCTCAGCCCTCATATATTCTTGAAATATTCTTCTCTTTTTCAATTTCTGTGACTATTTCTTCTCAGTTTCTTGTTTCTGTCTCCTTAAAATGTTGATGTCCAACAAGTTTCTATCTTTGGCTTTTACTCTGATGATCTTAACTATTATTCATATACTGAGAACTTATAAAACTAAGTTGTTTTTTTTTTCTATGTTCTCCTGTTAATGGGAGATCCAACCTGGTACTGCTGGCCTCTAAGTATTGCTTTAGGCCCATGACATCTGTCCATCATGGCCCTCTCCAGCAGACTAGTTGCCAGTTTGACTATGTAGTTAAACTAGTCAATAGTCTGCCTAGCATATGGTAGACTGTCAGTTGTCACTATCCAGTCTCTCTTTTTCCTTAACAGAATCCTGATTTTATTCAGACTGGCTATGTGTCCACTTAAAAGACTACATTTGATAAGTCTCCCATGTAGCTAGGGGTAGGCATAGAATTGAGTATAAATGAGAAATAAATGGAAGCAACTGGATGTGATTTCTGGAAAGGCACAGTAAAAGAGGGATAGTGGAGACACATCCTTTTATCTTTTATAATTTCTTCCTTCCTCTGCCTGGAAAAGCTGCAAGATGGTGGTGCCAAGAAAGTAGGAAGGTGGGTTCCTGATAAACATATTCCTGGACTGTCTCCATCCAAACTTCATAAATCTCATTCTTTAAAATGTTTGAGTTTTGTTACATGCAGCTGAACTGAATCCTGATATAGTCTAGATCTGTTCATTCCTGAATGAAGATTGTAAGAGTTTGCTTAGTCAGCCTTTTCACTGCTGTGACTAAAACACCTGAATGGCATAATTGTAGAGGAGGGAAAGTTTATTTGGGGGCTCACAGTTTCAGAGGTCTCAGTTCATGGATAGCAGGCTCTATTCCTCAGGGCTTCAGATGAGGCAGAATATCATGGTGGAAGAGTGTGGCAGAGGGAAGCAGCTCACATGACGATCAGAAAGCAGAGAGAGACTCCACTCTCCCATAGTGACACACCCAATGAACCACTTCCTCCAGCCACACCCCACCTACCTAAAGTCACCACTCAGTTAATCCCACCAGGGGTTAATTCACTGATTAGGTTAAGGCTATAACCCAATCATTTCTTCTTCAAACCTTCTTGCATTGTCTCACATGTGAGCTTCTGGGGACACCTCACATCTAAACTACAGCACAGCTCAAATGTTATTCCCATTGTGGTAGGTGCCTCAGGAATCCCACAGTCCCACTGCCTTCATTTAAGGTTACGGTATGGTTGAAATGCTTTGAAATCTATTGTATATATTTTTCATGACTTGCATACACCCACTCAAAGAAGCCACAAATCAGCCCAGGTCCACTTCCTGTGTGGGTTAATACACCCTTCAGATACATGAATACTGCCTCCAAAGTAGCAGAGTGACGTACATACTAGGACTCTAGAACAGGTTCTATAGTGAATAAGAAAGTCCAGTAAGCCAAGAGATCGGGTTAGAATGAACTAGATCTGTGGAAAGTATATCTGCCTCCTAATTACTTTACAGCATGCATAACAAAGAATTTTTATTGAAGAAGAAACCCACCAATGATCAAGGCAGAAAATAGAGGGTCCACATAATATTATAGACACAGGCTTCCAACTACAGTAAACATTCAATAAATATCTGCTGATCCAATGAACAAGTGAAGTCATTTGTGGGATATAAATTCCTGCCTATGTTACCAATTCTTATCTATGCTGCTTCCTAACTATTTAGAAATCAAGTCCTTTCCTGTGTCTATTGTCACTGTCCCTAATTTAGATTCTATCTCTTCCATGAAATATGGCAAGAGCCCTCTTAATGGCTCCAGCTCAAATCTACCTTCCTCACTGCTACCAAAGAGCTCCTTTTAAAATACAAATGCAATGATGTCATTGCTCTGTTTAAAAATCCTTCGCTGCTTCCTCATATTTTATAGGATGAAGTCCAACCTCTTTAAGAGGGAATCTGTGGATAAATCCCTGGCTATCTTTAGTCTTATCTCTTGACACTGTCTATCCTCATGCTGCCTGATGTTCCTATTTACTTTGTACTGTTTCTCAGTGGTGTGCCTCTGTTCATAATGTCTTCTTTCCTTGCATGCCATCTACTCCCTCTTTCCACTTTCAGTCATTTAGTTTAGCATTACCTTTCTAGAAAATTTCCCTAACACAGCCCTCTGGTGAAAGCCTGATGTTCTTTATGACCTTGTCTTCCTTGGTTCTCTTAATTCCCCAGTGCACTCCCTTCCCCCTATCCTGGAGCAGGGTCACTGGGGGGAGGGCTGGAAGAGCTGGCTGAGTTGGCTTCCCCAACATTCCATTCAGTCCTCCTCCCCCAGACAGGGTCCTCATTTCCTTTTTCCCTGCCTGTTTTCTGGCAGACTCTCCTGTTATACACATTCCAAATGAACAAACATAAATGAATTCTAAAATGTATAAGCTTAAAAAATTACTGATGTATAAGCTTAAAATGTATAAGCTTAAAAAATTACTGGCCGAGGTTGTAGCTCAGTGGTGGAGCGCTTGCCTAGCACATGTGAGACACTGGGTTTGATCCTCAGCACCATATATAAATAAATAAATAAAATGAAGGTATTGTGTCCATTTACAACTAAACAAAATATTTTGAACAAACAAACAAACAAATTACTGATAAGTCCTTTCTTAAAAGAAATTCAAGTCAAAAAGATATGCTGGGGGGGTGGTTAAGAATAGAAGTTCAGTAGATTAGATAAAGGGGAATGAAGAGCAGGGATGGTGGGTAGGAAACAGAAAGACAGTGGAACGAATCTGACTGAACTTTCCTATGTACGTATTTAAATATGCCACAGTGGATCGCCACATCCTGTAGGACCACAAGACCAGAATCCTAGTTAGAGTAAGATGCACTCCATGTTTGTATGAATATGTCAAAATATACTCTACTGTCATGTATAACTAAAAAGAACAAATAAAAAACAAAACAAACAAAAGGAGATTATTTGGTAGTGCCCTCCTGTTCCTTGGGACCTGAGATTCCTACTTAGACTATGTTAGTTAAATGTTAGTCAAATAATCTTTTTAGTTTTATAACATCAAATAGCTCTGAATTATCAAACAAGATCTAGAAACAAAGATTTTGTTTATGTGCCTAAGGCAATTACTCAGAATTTTTTTATGTAACATTTAATGTGCGTGTACACACACACACACACACACACACACAGAGCTGTGAGAGAGCTGTCCAAACTAAATAAAGCAAAAAAGTGGCAAATTTAGTTTGTGAGTTTGTTATACTGGTGGGTTACCATGGAAACATACAAGACTAGTTGGCAACTGAAACAAAAGTCACATTAGCAAATGCTTTCCGTTATGTGAGTCATTAATTTCCTATGAGTTTTTTATGGTTGCTTAACCACTTTCAAGAAACAAAGCAACAGAGTATGATTAGTGTTGAGACTGAAAAGCCAACTCTTTCTTTTTTGTTATCTTAGAGCAGAGAAATTCAATATTTATTGGATACTGACTCATCCCCTCTCAGCCACAAAAAGACCCAAATGAAAGTCCCTATATTTTCTTGAATAACTTAAAATACATCACTATATATTTATACCTCAATAAATCTTAATCTATAAAGCACATTTCTTATCATAGTGATCAGAAAAATCTATAAACAGGTTCCCCTCTGCCTCACTTCTTCACCAGCTGGCCCAGGCATTTAGTGCTATGCTTTTAAACAAGCTCATGCAAATCTCATCTTCCATTTTAAAATTTGATCCAAGCACCAGATATAACCCAAATGTCTGGAACAAGAAAACATTTGTATTTGCATGGATCATTTTCCATACGATAATGCCCATTATAAAAAAAGTCTTTTCTCATATTCAGTATTTTGACTTCCAGAGTTTTTAACTGAAAAGTAGAACCACAGTACTTAGGATTCTCAATCAAGGAATAAATAACTCTATTACTACAATATATTACTTCAATACATTTTTTTAATGTGTTAGGATTGAAAATTTAAAGTGCTGCTCACTTGCCAGGGAATTTTGTCCTTAACAAAAATAAAGGCAAAATAGGGCTGGGGTTGTGGCTCAATTGGCAGAGCGCTTGCCTGGCACATGTGAGGTACTGGGTTTGATCCTCAGCAGGACATTAAAAAAAATAAAATAAAATAAAAGGCATTATGTCCATCTACTAGGAAAAAATATTTTTAAAATGAAGGCAAAATAAAGACAAATTTGATCTTTTGAGTCTTTTTTCCTAAAAGCCAAGACAGAGTATTATCTTTTTTTGTGTTGTTGTAGATGGATACAATACCTTTATTTTATTTATTTATTTTTATATGGTATTGAGGATTGAACCCGGTGCCTCACACATGTCAGGCAAGCGCTCTACCACTGACCCACAATTCCAGCCCAAGACAGAGTATTATCTTATACTTATATTCATCATTCACCAAAAATTTGTACTTAGTATTATAATTTCTTTTCTTTTTTTTTTTGTAGGGTGGTGGTACTGGGAAGTAAACTCAGGCACTTGACTACTGAGCCACATCCCCAGCTCTATTTTGTATTTTATTTAGAGACAGGATCTCACTGAGTTGCTTAGTGCCTCGCTTTTGCTGAGGCTGGCTTTGAATTTGTGATCCTTCTGCCTTAGCCTCCCTAGCCGCTGGGGGTACATACAGGTATGTACCACGATGCCCATCTTAGAATTATAATTTCTACTTCCATACTTTTACAACTTTTACTGTTTAGACTATTTTTAAATGATATATGGGGAAGCTTTCATTTTCATTAATAAGATGCCCCAAATTAGATCGAGTGAGTGGCTTTTGAGTTTTGCTATAGGAGGATGGACTGCACTTAGATAAACTGATATATATCAATGCTTAGATCAAAGTATGCATATAACTTCTCTAATCTAGATGTCCTATTCACTTTTTAAAAAAAATCATCATTACTTCTTATCTGAGATATTTTTTCCTCCAGTGAGAGCAGAATCTTTATTTCAGGGGGAAAGGAAAAAAGGATCACTTCACGAATCTGTGTGTTGTCCTTACACAGGGGCTGTGCTCATCTTCTCTGCATTGCTCTAATTTTAGTATATGTGCTGCAAAGCAGGCGCCTTACCTGAGATCTTAAGGCTCATTCTACTCTGAAGCTCTTACTAGTCCTTTTTTTTTCTATTTCCTCAAATGTATATTCAAATTAGGGAAAAGGAATCAGATAATTTTTAAAAGATAGTTTTCAAAATGACTTAAGATGGTTTTCAGACTTTATGATTCCAGTGTTGCCTTTTAAAGAAGGGAATGTATCTTTACAAAGAACATTTCAATGATCGACACAGAAATAAGGTAATTTTCTAAAAAAGGACACTTTTAAGGAAGGGACAAAGAAGCAGGTAGTTCATTATTTGGAAAAAACTATAGAATATAAATATTATGTAGAAAATGTAGGCATTAATACCTGAACTAAGTTTAAAATTTCAGTTTTTAGGCACTTCTTTGAAGATGAAATTATAATGGTGAGTGAAGACTTTTTAAAAAATATTTTCCAGTGGATCTTCTGATAGTATATAGGGAAAAGGTAATCTATATCACTTTTGTTTTTACTTTTGTCTTCATTTCTGGAAAAAAAATACTTTTTCTTTTGGCAATGTATTCTGCATTGTGTACTCTGATGACTAAAAAAGTTTGAGCATTGACTGACTATAGGATTTCCCAATTGAACACATTTATAAGATTTCTACCCAGTATGGATTCTCTGATGATTAATAAGCCCAGAATTCTGGAGAAAGGCTTTCCCACGTTCAAGATGTTTATAATGTTCTTCTCTGGTGTTTCGCAAGGGTGGAACTTCTGCTGAATAAGCCTTCCCACAATCAGCACATCCAGAAGGTTTCTCTCCACTGTGGGTTGTTTGGTGAAGAACAAAAACTGAGCCCTGCTGAAGGTTTTCCACATTCTCCACATATATCCTGTTTCTTTCTAGAGGGATCTCTCTCTTTTTCAAACCTGCCATTTGGGAAATAGTTTTCTCCATATTTGAAAATTGGAGAAACACCTGTATCGAGAGTGCCAGGAACTTTATGAGATTGTGTTGCCAAAGGAGTTTCCTGCGTTGGAGCCAGTGCTCCCTTTTCAGGCCTAGGGTCATTATCACAGTGCCTCAGGGAACAGAGTGTCCAGGATGCCTATATGAGCTGGTTCTCCACAGCATCAAGCTCAGAACTCAATATTCCTTGAGCTTCGCTTTGAGATACTACCTCCTACTAGCACTTCCTATCAATGGATAGAATCAGTTCTCTAGGGTCAACCAGTTCACTCTCAAATCCCTCAGCACAGTCCTTGCCTCCTTTGTACTCTGGATGATGCTCTTGAACCCAATTCTGTGCTTCCTTGGGTAGTATTGCAAAAACTGCTCCAGTATTACTAGCCTCAAGATGTTTCCCTTTGTGTGCATCTCTGGCCTGAGCCACACATAGCAAAGTTCTCAGAGCTGGGTCACTGTCTCATGGGGCCCAGGTGAATTCTGATATCCACACTGCTCAAATTGCTATCAACAACCTTTGGGTCAGGGAGACAGTTCCAGGTAATACTTGATCTCTCTACACTATCAGGATTCTACTCAAACTTGACTATCAGAATTTTCCCCTCTTCATCTAGAGTTGGGATAAGTGCTGAATCTTCTTCCAATAACTACACAGATACCTTACAGTACTTCAAGAAAATACAATCAAGGCAGGATGAAAACCTGAGGGAAATGCCCCATTTTCTTTATAGGTACTCCCCTGGCTCAGGAACCACAACATCTTTGCTGTCCATGGCAGATGCAGAAACACTGCTTCAAATGATTTCCCAGAAACTTCTGGCGTAGGCAGCTCAGAAAGCCAGTTACTTCTAAGATAAAATAACAGAGCTGCTGTATGTGATGTAAAATAAGCAAAGAATTCAGAAGATAAAGTTGCTATGGCCATCATTTATGCTTCAAAACAGTCAAAAGAAAATCTAGAAAGTTGTTAAAAATGAAAGTAATTTAAAATAGAATAAAAATTATGAACCCAACTTTTGTGACTACTTATTCTACGAGCAAACTACATTATTATTCTCAGAACAATATGCAAAAGTGTACTCTTGGCACACATTTAAAATTATATCATGTCTTAGTAATTCAAAGTACTCTAAACTTTTTAAAAGAGTGATTAAAAAAAAAAAAAGACCACTGGGGGCTGGGGTTGTGGCTTAGCAGTAGAGTGCTCTCCTAGCACGTGCAAGGCCCTGGGTTTGATTCTCAGCACCACATAAATATAAATAAAATAAAGGTATTATGTCTAATTACAACTAAATAATAATAATAATTAAAAAAAAGTGCTATGAGGAATGCAGATGTTTGCCAGGTAGCATTGTGACAAGGTTAAGAGGTCATACCCAGAGCCAGGTTCAGATGCTGCCTCTGCTATCTGCCCCTTGTCACTCACACTGGACAAATTCTCTAACCTCCCCATATTTCAATTTTTCTCTTCTAAGAAACAGAGAAGGTATCTGGAGAAATGAAATGAAATTACACAGTATTCATAACAGTGTCTGGCTTATAGTGTATCTCAAAAATAAATGCTTAGAAGCTGCTATTATCAAGGATATGTGTAGTAGTTCTAAGTCCATTTAAATTTGTCCCCCCAAGTCAAACAATGGACAAATTTGTAAGAAGAGAATTTTCTTCCTCAACATTAATGAAGATCTCTGTGTTAAAAGAGATGTAGCTGAGAGAGAGAGAGAGAGAGAGAGAGAGAGAGAGAGAGAGAGAGAAGAAACCTTTGGGGAAGCAAAAACAAGTAAAATTGTGGCTTTTAATTGCAACATTAAGGTTAAATTAATCTGAAATCCTCAGAGGTGTCTTTATTTGGCTTAAGTGGGTAGAAGGTAGTATCATTCATTTGGAAAAACTGAACACAAGAATATTTTGTTTTACTTATTTATTCACTGATGCATTTTGCTAGTGGGATTAGGGAGAGGGAAAAAAAAATCTGATTTTGGAGTGGCTCATTTGGAAATGTTTAGTAGGCAGAGAGACACATAGTGCTAGAACTCAAAGGAGAGGTCAGGACTGAAAATACAAATGTGAAGGCCCTAATCATGTAAATGGTCACTGAAGAATGGGCATGGACGAGGCCGTTTGGGAACAGTGGGCACAGGGGGAATGGAAGAGAAAGCCTAGAACTCCAAGGAACACCAATACTTTGGGTATTGGAGAAGGTGGGCAGTCAGAGGTGGCTAAAATGTCAACAGAAGAAGAAGCAAAGATTAGGTTATCACCAAAACCAAGGGAATAGATTTTTAAGAAAGAATTGCTCAACATTATCAAGTGTGGCAGAGAGGTCAGGTAAGGTAGAACTAAAGAGGGCACACTGGATTTAGCAACAAGCAAGTCACTGATAACACTGGTGAGTGTAGTTTCAGTGAAAAGGTGGAAGCCAGATGACCTTGGGAAATGGAGACAGGGAACACAGACAACTCATCTGAAGTCTTTTAGTAAAAAAGAGAGAATTCAGGGTGGCAGCCAGATGGGATATGACATAAAGGAAGGAATTCATTTTAACATCCAAGAGACTTAAGTGTGCTATAGTAGGAATAGGAAAGAACCAGCATGGAAAAAAGCTGAAGATGAATAATGGAGGAGATCCAGTCCTGAGAAAGTCAGAGGGAAGGGATTCAGAGGACAGTTAGGAGAATGGGTGCTGGACAGGAGAAGGTATCCTCTTTCATTATGAGGAATAAAAAGAAAAGAAAGAGATCTGATATAGACAAATTTATCATTGAATTTTCACTGCCCAGAATTGTTCTAATGAAAACTTCCATAGAAACAGCATAGCACTACTTGGCATGTAGCAGGTCCTCAAATGTTTGTGTGATAATTACTTTCTTACAATGTTACAATAATCTTTGTAGCTTCATATAAGAAAATACTTCTATTGGATCACACAAATCCTAATGAGAAATATAAATTTTTAAAATAGCATGCCTTTTATGGAGTGGGAGAAGGCGTTACTGTATGACAGGGATTAATATTCAAAATATATAAGGAATTCACACAATTCACAGCAAAAAAACAACAACAGACAACCAAAACAAGCAAAAACTCAAAAATGGGCTAAAAATATGAATAAACATTTTTTCAAAAGAAGACACACAGATGACCAACTGGAATATGAAGAGATACTTAACAGTATTCATCAGTGAAATGTAAAGAAAAACTACAATGAGATAATACTCCACAAAAATTAAAGCAATAGATAAAAAGAGAATAAGTTTTAATAGATAAAAGAGAATAAGTTCGGGCCAGGATGTGGAGAAAAGACAACACTTATACAGTATTGCTGGGGATGTAAACTGGTATGGCCAATAAACAAAACAGTGTGGAGGCTCCTCAAAAAAATGAAAAAAAGAGCTAGGCACAGTGGTGAACAATTATAATTCTAACTAGTTGGGAGGCTTAGGCAGGAAGATCACAAGTGATGTTAACTTGAGCAATTTAGTGAAACCTGTCTCAAAACGGCTGGGAGCCGGGTTTGGTGGCTCACACCTATAATCCCAGCCTTGAGGCTTTGAGGCATGATAATTACAAGTCTGAAGCCAACCTCAGCAACTTAATGAGACCCTGTCCAAAAAATAAAAAGGGTTGGGCCGGGTGCGGTGGCACATGCCTGTAATCCCAGTGGTTTGAGAGGCTAAGGCAGGAGGATCACAAGTTCAATGCTAACCTCAGCAACAGAGAGGCACTAAGCAACTCAGTGAGACCCTGTCTCTAAATAAAATACAAAATAGGGCTGGGGATGTGACTCAGTGGTTAAATACCCCTGAGTTCAACCCCTGGTATGTGGGTGGGGTGGGATTAAGCTCAGTGGTAAAGTACCCCTGGGTTCAATTTCCATTACCATTAAACAAATTAAAAATAGAACCATAATATTATCCAGCAATCCTATCCCTGGGTATTCATCCAAAGGAAATGAGCATTATTTGCAATAGCCCAAACAGGGAAAGTGCCTTAAGGGATAAATGAAGAAAGAAAATGTGATATGAAATAAATAAATAATACACACACACACACACACACACACACACACACACA